GATGCTATTTGGAAGAATATTCTCTGCGGAAACCAAATTATGAAGATAAGAGTTGATATTTGTGGTGCTATTAGAAAACAATAGTTCTGGATCACAATTTCTGTGACTGAGTGATACTGATCCTTCAGGATAAGGAGTAAGTGAATGCTGTGGATATTGGCCAGACAGGTAGAACGATTCAGAATCGTATTCACGAACATCATACAAGTTTTTGTTAAAAAAAAACGAATTTAACATATTTGCATACCATATAGCAATGGTGTTTTCAAGTATAGGGACAGCTGACTATACTTACGAAGAAGGAATTGATATTTTCATCACATAGAGAATGCGAATTCTCAATGTATTTCTTCATAAATATATCAATTTTTTTATGTTCATAATTATATCTCAGAATATTCCTTTTCAATACTTTTCAAACATGAACGATGGAAACATGTTATTTTTATAGATCTCAATCGCAGATTCGTGATTAGGTTTTCTCAATTCAGAATTTCTTTTCACGTCCTGTATGATGAATGTCAATTGATCATGCATCAAAACAACAAAAACAAAATTCCGACTTAACTAAAGACGAAAATTCGGTCAAAATTTCGATTCATTATTTTTTCGCATTGGCACTCCAGAGGGTTCGTATACTGAACTAATCAAGAAAACTACTATACTACACTCACTTCGCGTCGTTCGGGTCAACTGCATGCGTGCGAGAAATTATCACTTTCCGCACTTGTTAGGAAAATTACTATTTTGAGCTACAAAGCGTCTGGCGGAAGTTGAAAGACATGAAACTTGATGAATATTATTTTTCAAATGAACTACACATTTTGTAATATTGTCAACTCTGAAGTATGCTTAGAGGGGGTTGGAATATTCAACCCCTAAGAGATTTGGTCCTACAACTTTTTTTGGACAAAACAGTTGAAAAAAAAAGGAAAATCTTTGGAAAATGCTTGTTTTCGAAAAAACTTTTTTAAAGATATTGAAGTTAGTAAATAAATTGGGCTTTTCAGCTACGTTTTTTTTAAGGAAGTAACATTTTCGTTAAAAAGAATGTTTCAAGAAAACAGACCTTGGGGGTTGAATATTTAAACCCCTTCCAGGCATAAATCAGGGTAAAAAAATCGAAATGTGTTGTTTCATTGAGAAATAACATTCACCAAGTTTTGTATCTTCGGCTCGATATACAGGGAGAATAATAAAAAAGAACCTTATTTTTTATTGATCTTCGGAGGAGGTAACTTTTCCGGGAAGAGGTTTATCAAAAAATTGTATACCAAATACCCATCTTCATTTTCATCACAAAATCACCCCTTTTCGTTATTTGGATATACCCTGTATAAACATTACACGAAGTTATGTCTGGGGGTCCTGGGCTCTTGGACTATATCCTCTATTGTCCGTCCAGGGAATTTCCAACAGTATCATCCCTCGAACAGGGGATCGTTTGTAGAGATCTAATTGGGGTGCACAAACACTAATCTCCATAGGCAACTGTATCGACTGATTTCAATTACGTATGGGCCCAAAGTATGTATATGTGCTAGCATATGGAGATGCTAATGCAATCGGTATGATTGCCAACAACGAGCCGACATGGCCAACACAAATATGCTTATACAGTGCAACCCAAAGTACATGGGGGGGGGGAGATAGTTGGGTGGTTAACCGACTGGCACTGGTTCTCGACCCAGTTCAAAATAGCTGGCAGAGTGGGAAAAAAGTCGAACTTCTCGCACAGAATAGTAATTTACGTAACACGTCCGAAAAATACTGTTTTATTAGACGAGTAGGCAAAATTCTAGGCCGATCCGTAGGCGAGTCCTGAAGTCTGCGAGTCCAAAAAAATTGTTTTTGGACGTGTTGCATACACAATTTTTCCGGCAATCATATGTAGAATAACAATTCAATGAGACACATTTTCATATTATATTTCTTTGTGGAATACAATTTCTTCTTTATTAATTCTTATTTGTATCAAATACTGAAATTGGAACAGAATACCTATAGGTACCTACTAACTGCCACATTTTCAAATTTCGTATGGACATTTTCAAACTCACTATCGCTGCTGCTTTCGATAGTTTTTTGCAATAATTGCAACCAAACTTTCAAGAATCCAAATGTCAACTAATTGCATGTCAAATAGCTTTCAGCCTATATTTCAATGCTATGGTAATTATTATCATCTGCATTTATCAAAACTTTATCTACCAAGACTTCCATAGTTTTTTTTATGTTCTGGTTCCCACGAAGGGGGATATCCTGTAATGTTCAGAGAGAACCAAGGAAACTAAGGTAGGAATTGGTGTTCTTCTCAAATTTCTGGAGGTTATATGCCTCGGGGAATACCAAGCATCGAAATGGATGGTCTCCAAAGGTATGGTTACTCCTGACACAGTAAAAAGAATATATATTTGTATTCTTTTAACTGTGTTCCTATATGACAAGCTTATGTTGGGCACAGTGAGATCGGCCTTTCTAGAGAAAAGGCATGCTTGTGTTTTGTTTGCATTGAAATATAGATATTTAATATCAGATCCCCATTCGAGAATTGTTGCCAAGTCCATATTTATAATGTCAACATTTCTCCCTCGTTCGTTTCTGATTTTCCTGGCTGGTATTGGAGCCCTGGAAGAGAAGGCGGTATGGAGAGTACTATCACAGATCATCCGCGAAGCTGTGTACTGAACATGAAGTTGCTTCTAATAAATCGTTGACATGGAATAGAAATAGTGTTGGTGCTAGAATTGATCCATGCGGAACACGAGCATTTATGACAAGGGAGTCAGATGAAACTCCGTCGACCACTACATGGAGAGACCTGTTTGAGAGAGAACTAACTAGCAGATAACATAGCTGGGGAGGGAAGTCAAAAGATGGAAGCTTGGCGAGGAGTCCGTGGTCTCAGACTCGATCGAATGCCTTGGAGATATAAACTGCCACGGCTAAGGTTTCACCATATTTTTCAATAGATTGCTGCCATATATGTGAGACGTAAGCGAGCAGGTCACCAGTTGATCTCTGATGACGGAAGCCATATTGCCTATCGTTGATAATACCTGAATGTTCCAGGTATTTCATGGGCTCGTTGTTGATAGTGACAGTGACAACAGCGATGTGATACTTTCTGGCCTAGTCCGAAAAGTATTTATTTCCTGGACTAGGCCGGAAAAATGCTATATTCTCAAAGAGAAGTGAGCACTTTCCTGACGGTTGCTGAAAAAATCATTTGATAACCGTCTGTCATTGACAGAGGCTATGTTATCGTCCATGTTTGAAACGTGCTAGTTGATATCAGACCAGAAAGTAGTCAATAACTTTTATTTTGAATGCATTAGTTAAATGAGTTTTGTTTTATATCAATAAGTTGATATAGTATTTCAAGAAAAAACAATAATATTATAATTTTTTTGTTGAATATCCGGTGATCGCGAACCCGTTTTACAAAAATTGGCTCTTTCATTTCTCGAACAAAATGGTCAAGAACCACAGCATATCTTGAATAATTGCTCACGTCTCCAAGTTTTATTAATTTAACCTTTCATTCCATTTTGGGCATTATGGTTACTTCGTAGGTAATTTTCATTGTTTATAGCACTTTTAGGAATCGACAACAATGGAGAGGGGCAATGAACAATAGGTTTCTATGTTTCGAAATGAGTATTTTTTATTTCTACAGTTTTCAGGAGCCTGCCTCAGTATAAAATTTCCTCGTGATTCAATCTGATGGATGGTGGTCGAGAACCAACATGAAAATGGGACACCCTGTATGTACATATGGTTACCAAAATACGTTTTTGGACTCTTCCAAATAGAATTGTGATATTTTGGGTATATTTTTTTAATTATCTGCTTCAAGCGACATAATTAGTTAACCATATTTTCTATTCGAGAAACATATTCAAATGTATCTTCAAAATAGGTATCCAATTAGAATAGTATATTATGTAACAAGTGTTATAAACGTCCTTCTAGTAACGAGTATTCTAAGCACGAGCGGAGCAGAGCGAAGCGAGTGTTTAATAAACGAGTGTCTAGAAGAGTTTATAAACGCGTTACATACTATGCTTTTTCTACGAACTCCGAAAATTACATTAATAACATACCTGCTATTCCTGCTAACCTACAAAATAATTCGAAAGGAATGGGAATTGAGAACACAATAAATACAACTGATGCATGCAGCCAGCGAGACACGTATAAGTGATATTGGTTGTAGATATGTCCAGTCCATTGCTTACTAACCTTTGTTTCACGTTAATTATTGTCATGCTCAGAGCAGAATAAATGAATTGTTCTCAAAGATGGATGCTTCATTTTCACACTTCTTGGAGATATGCAAGTACCAGAACATTCTCTTCGATTCCACTTTATTCCACGCATACATTTTAAATGAAGCATTCTGATACAAACGAATACTGTCTGAATAATTCTGATACGAAATTTGAAAATACCAGTCGAAAGTTAATACAATTGACAGGCCAGACATGTCTCAAATTGCTGAAGCTGTGTTTAATGAACTGCGTTGCCATGGCAATGTGTTTAAGAAACCGTGTTGCCATGGTAACGTGTTTAATATTTTGAATAAATCACAGATCGACAATCCGTGATTAATCGATCATTTAGCGTGGTAAATATCCGTACGCTAAATGCCATTTTAGTTATGTGAGTAGAAAAACATCTTTAGGCAGATAAAATCTCTCCAGCTGGCGAGTGTTATGTTTAATATATCTCAACATATAGTGTTCTCGAATTTCAATTCGAAATTTGAATGAACCGAAAATTTATTAGTTGTCCAGAGCTGTTCAAGCCTCCGTACGGGGCTGGGAAATCTAAAGATAAACACAGGTATTTCCTGTTCATAAAACTCAAATTGTCGTGAACCAAATAATAAAGAAAACCTCAACTGGAATTGAAGAAATGACATTTGTTTAGAAACTGTTGCCAACACAACTTTCCCTCTTTCTTCCAGAAGATATAGAAGTAGTGAAGCTGCAAAGATGTTTCCTCTGCAGCAGCTGGACTCCGGATGCTTCTGCTTGGACCATTTGGGCGAACCTCTAACTCCCAACCCTTTCCTAGCCCAAACCTTGTTCAATCCGTACTACCCCCAACTGTGGTTCCCGCTACCGTTGAAGATCCCCCAACCGAAACCTGAGAAACCTCCCTACTCCTACATAGCCCTGATAGCCATGGCCATCTCTTCGTCCCCAAAGCAAAGACTTACCCTCAGCGCCATATACAGGTTCATCATGGACAATTTTCCCTATTACAGGTAATTGATGGAGAATTTATTCACCATGGTCAAAATGAGGTAAAATGCTCAATACAGCGGGGCAAAATTATCATAACGTCGTTGATTCTGAAATATCTGCTATGTGCTTTGAATTTTCACTTGTGATACCACAAGAGGTCATATTATTTCCGGAAATTTTTTCGAGCTCATGGATATTTTGAAAATTATTCCGAGTTTGTGTTTGGAAAATGAATGGATTTAGAATTCATTTGTTCATTTGAAGTCTGAAATCATTGAATAATAGTTTTTTATTATACAAGGGAAAAAAGTAGTAGATTTTAGCTCCAGGTTGGAGCTACGCGTCGGGAGGCAAAAAAGCGTGAGCTAGAATCTAATATTTTTCCCGTGTATAATACACTGCTTTTTTCTGTGACCGAAAAAAACGACGAATCAATATTGACAGGATATTACATTATTTCGAAATCTGAAACTTATCGACGTGAAATTTCAAGTTTTTAACAGTAGGAACACCTGCGTTGTGGACATCTTTATTATTCTTTTGAAGTAATCAAATATCTGATGTCACTTCTGTCAGTCTGTGATTTGATTTCAAAAAATTGCGAATTCAGTGGTTGTTTAGTAATATACGTAACCGCGAAATCGGATGGAAGATACAAGGAGGCGGAGCGTTTAGCGAAGCCGAGCGAAAGCAAAATTTGCGAGTCGAACAAAGTCACTTTTGATCCGAATGAAACATGCTATTTTTTCTGCAACCGAAACAATTAACTCAAATAAACATGTGAAGTAACCATCAATGCCGTGCCATATGTATGCAATGCAACAAATATCGACAAATAATCCATGTAGTGAGAATATTCTACCTGCATTATCAGCAGGTTAGGTTTTCTAGGATGTTCGAATTGTAGTTTCAATATAAATACAACCACAGAGTGACATATTTGTGTTTGGACCAGGTGCTCTTATGGCAAATATTGCGCCAGTGCCAGCTATAGGAACAAGACGTGGAAAATGTTAGGTTAGTGAGCATATCAACAATAATAATAATGATTGTTTTTATTCCTCTCCATACTACACTGTGTTTGACTTGATGATCAAATGAAGCACAATATCGTTGTTCGAGACAAAAAAAACTATTGCTTGCCGTGATTATTCGAAAACAAGTTATCCATCCCGAGAATAACGAATGAAATACAGATCAAGCAAGTATTTGAATCTTGAAGACTTCCCTGATCAAAACAAAAATACTTAACTGAGATGTTTATAATTCCAATACTAAACTATAATAAGGTGTATTTATATCTCCAGCATGGGTATGAAATGCCAAATCTGCTGAAATCGGAAACAAATCAGGTATGCGTCTCAACCCAAATAACCAACCGTCACAATGTTGTTTATTCTTGATGACATTCAGTACATCCTTTTTAGTTCCTAGGAGCTAAAGTTCAACTTTAGCTCCTAGGAACTGAAATTCAACTTTAGCTCCTAGGAACTAAATATGTTGCCTAACAACATACCTATTTTTGTGTCAGTAATAGAAACGTCAATTTAAGAGCTAATTTTGGTATCGAAATGGGCGACTTTTGTGTCGGTTGCAAAAAAAAGTAATTTATGAAAAGTGACATTTTATAACCTGCCAACAGAGATGAAATGCCAAACTTTTTTCCCGTCACAGAAAAAAGATTTTTTTTTTCTTGTGCTGCAGGGAAAACAGACAGGGCTGGCAGAACTCCATCCGGCACAACCTCAGTCTGAACGACTGCTTCGTGAAGGTGCCCAGGGACAGGGCGGGGAGTAGCGAACAAAACGGTGGCAAGGGCAGCTATTGGATGCTGGATCCCAAGTCGAGGAACATGTTCGAAAAGGGCAACTATCGAAGGAGGAAGACGAGGAGGCAGCGTATCGCCGAATGCACCGCCAGTTTGTACCAGGTGAGGATTTTCAACACGCTTTTATATCAGCTTCAACTGTATGTATTCCCGTACAAGATAGTAAAAAACTGATGTCGGTGCCACTTAGCTCCAAAATGAACTACCCCCCCTCTACATTTAAAAAAAGAATCCGTGAGAATCAGTCCATGAATAAAAATAATACGGACCGAATGATTTGAAATTTAGCAAGTGTACATAATTTCTATTCAGAATTGGTATCTGAAGGTTTTCGAAGTCGAAGATTATGGCTCTTTCGCCAAAATTTGGAAGGTTTTTTTCTGGATATTACTCAATACAACCTTGATGAATATACTTTGAACATTTTTGATGTACGATTTTCAATAATTTTATTTTAATGTTGTAATGAATATTTTAGCTGAAATTCATCATGGATGATTATCATTGTTCAGATATTTTCTTCTATTGTTCTAATCTACATTCCTATTATTTATTAACTCTTAAGAAACATTTTATTTATACATGTACTCTGTACTGACCTGTCCTATAGCTTTATAAGCTCGTATTTGGATCAATGAAACTATCTATCTCTATCTATCCTATCTAAAATATTCGTAATCAGTATATTCTACTACCCAAATATATAATTCAAACCTCAAAATATTCAAAATTCCTGAAAATTGCAAAAATTGCAAAAATTCCTTAAAATTGCAAAAATTCCTGAAAATTGAAAAAATCGCAAAAATTCCTGAAAATTGCAAAAATTCCTGAAAATTGAAAAAATCGCAAAAATTCCTGAAAATTGCAAAAATTGCAAAAATTCCTGAGAATTGCAAAAATCCTTAAAATTGCAGAAATCGCAAAAATTCCTGAAAATTGCAAAAATTTCAAAAATTCCTGAAAATTGCAAAAATTCCAGAAAATTGCAAAAATTCATGAAAATTGCAAAAATTGCAAAAATTCCTGAAAATTGCAAAAATTGCAGAAATTCCTGAAAATTGCAAAAATTCCTGAAAATTGAAAAAATCGCAAAAATTCCTGAAAATTGCAAAAATCGCAAAAATTCCTGAAAATTGCAAAAATTGCAAAAATTCCTGAAAATTGCAAAAATTGCAAAAATTCCTAAAAATTGAAAAAATCGCAGAAATTCCTGAAAATTGCAAAAATTGCAAAAATTCCTGAAAATTGCAAAAATTCCTGAAAATTGCAAAAATTCCTGAAAATTGCAAAAATTCCTGAAAATTGCAAAAATCGCAAAAATTCCTGAAAATTGCAAAAATTGCAAAAATTCCTGAAAATTGCAAAAATTGCAAAAATTCCTGAAAATTGAAAAAATCGCAGAAATTCCTGAGAATTGCAAAAATTGCAAAAATTCCTGAAAATTGCAAAAATTCCTGAAAATTGCAAAAATCGAAAGAATTCCTGAAAATTGCAAAAATTGCAAAAATTCCTGAAAGTTGCGAAAATTTCTTAAAATTGCAAAAATTCCTGAAAATTGAAAAAATTAAAAAAATCGCAAAAATTCCTGAAAATTGCAAAAATTTCAAAAATTACTGAAAATTGCAAGAATTCCTGAAAATTGCAAATATTACTGAAAATTGCAAAAATTCCTGGAAATTGAAAAAATCGCAAAAATTCCTGAAAATTGTAAAAATCGCAAAAATTCCTGAAAATTGCAAAAATTCCTGAATTACAAAAATCGCAAAAATTCCTGAAAATTGCAGAAATTTCAAAAATTCCTGGAAATTGCAAAAATTCCTGAAAATTGCAAAAATCGCAAAAATTCCTGAAAATTGCAAAAATTGCAAAAATTCCTGAAAATTGCAAAAATCGCAAAAATTCCTGAAAATTGCAAAAATCGCAAAAATTCCTGAAAATTGCAAAAATTGCAAAAATTACTGAAAATTGCAAAAATTCCTGGAAATTGAAAAAATCGCAAAAATTCCTGAAAATTGCAAAAATCGCAAAAATTCCTGAAAGCAAAAATCGCAAAAATTCCTGAAAATTGCAAAAATTGCAAAATTTCCTGAAAATTGAAAAAATCGCAAAAATTCCTGAAAATTGCAAAAATTTCAAAAATTCCTGAAAATTGCAAAAATTCCTGAGAATTGCAAAAATCGCAAAAATTCCTGAAAATTGCAAAAATTGCAAAAATTCCTGAAAATTGCAAAAATCGCAAAAATTCCTGAAAATTGCAAAAATCGCAAAAATTCCTGAAAATTGCAAAAATTTCAAAAATTCCTGAAAATTGCAAAAATTCCAGAAAATTGCAAAAATTCATGAAAATTGCAAAAATTGCAAAAATTCCTGAAAATTGCAAAAATTGCAGAAATTCCTGAAAATTGCAAAAATTCCTGAAAATTGAAAAAATCGCAAAAATTCCTGAAAATTGCAAAAATCGCAAAAATTCCTGAAAATTGCAAAAATTGCAAAAATTCCTGAAAATTGCAAAAATTGCAAAAATTCCTAAAAATTGAAAAAATCGCAGAAATTCCTGAAAATTGCAAAAATTGCAAAAATTCCTGAAAATTGCAAAAATTCCTGAAAATTGCAAAAATCGCAAAAATTCCTGAAAATTGCAAAAATTGCAAAAATTCCTGAAAATTGCAAAAATTGCAAAAATTCCTGAAAATTGAAAAAATCGCAGAAATTCCTGAGAATTTGCAAAAATTGCAAAAATTCCTGAAAATTGCAAAAATTCCTGAAAATTGCAAAAATCGAAAGAATTCCTGAAAATTGCAAAAATTGCAAAAATTCCTGAAAGTTGCAAAAATTTCTTAAGATTGCAAAAATTCCTGAAATTGAAAAAATTAAAAAAATCGCGAAAATTCCTGAAAATTGCAAAAATTTCAAAAATTACTGAAAATTGCAAGAATTCCTGAAAATTGCAAAAATTACTGAAAATTGCAAAAATTCCTGGAAATTGAAAAAATCGCAAAAATTCCTGAGAATTGTAAAAATCGCAAAAATTCCTGAAAATTGCAAAAATTCCTGAATTACAATAATCGCAAAAATTCCTGAAAGCAAAAATCGCAAAAATTCCTGGAAATTGCAAAAATTGCAAAATTTCCTGAAAATTGAAAAAATCGCAAAAATTCCTGAAAATTGCAAAAATTTCAAAAATTCCTGAAAATTG